CAAAATCCTAATTGTAGAAGACAGCCACTTTCTCATAAGTAGAGACAAGCCGTTGGCTTGCGATGCATTAGATGGACTTTGGAGATAATAAGCCATTCCCCCTTTATGAAAGTGTAATCTTGTAATGGTGGTTAACAGGGTTCTACTAATTCCTTAATTGGTTCGGGACCTTTTTCTACTTTTAGTGTGTGGCCTTAATTTCAATCATTTGCGTGATCCTGTCCATCGTCGCGTACTGTTTTAAGACAGCTCCATCTTTTACGTCTCCCTCACTTCAAGTTACAACTGGACCCTTCTTCAACATCAGTCTCAATACCACAGCTCTTTCCTACTCCTCACTGGCCACCGCATCTCAATCCTTTATCTTGGTCTCCTCCGACCCACTCGCTGTAATGCCACATCCCGCTTTTCTCTACATTGAGTTCGTATGCAACATCTGGTTCCTCGTCGAGTTTCTCATACGGTTAACTGTAACGGACAGTCTGATAGGATTTCTACGGTCTCCACTCAACCTCATCGAAATCGCCGCAGTAATTAGTTTCTACGTGGAGGTTTTCGTAACCCTTGGCCTCGGCAATCAACACACCTCACCACCACCCCTTATAGCCAAGTGTGCTGTAGAACTGCTCAGTATTGTGCGAGTGATGCGATTATTCAAACTCACTCGATACATTTCGGGATTGAAGATCCTCATCCTCACATTTAAAGCCAGTGCAAAAGAACTGTCACTCTTGGTGTTCTTCCTCATGGTCTTTATTGTGCTTTTCGCCGCATTAGTTTTTTATGCCGAACGATTATCGCTGTCTCCAGCCAACGACTTTACTTCCATCCCCATCGGTCTGTGGTGGGCGATTGTTACAATGACCACAGTAGGATATGGTGACATGGCACCAAAGTCGTACGCTGGTAAGAAATTTCTATTTATTATACTTTTTAACTGAAAGTAACTATGCAAACCTACTGTCGCTCATGCTAGGTCCTGCAACTGTGATCCAGAAGACTTAGCGGGTGTTTTGATGAATTATTAAATGTGGCATCGAGATGCTCATGTATGCGTTTTAAACTCAATTTGGCCAATCTTCGTCAAGAGATGATTTACACAACTTCAAAAACATTCTAGAAGAACCTGGTTAATTCTGCCACTATTTACTACATAGCGCATATTAAACTCAGCACGTGAATAGTTATGCTTGTGAGTGTCTGTAAAAGCAAACATTTTTTTCTATGTTACCCCAAGGCAACATTTTTGCATCTCAACTTTCCTTGTAGCGAGTGACAACAGAATAATGCGTGCTCACTGCATGAACCGTAAGCTAGCACAGTTAGAACCTTGACAGTTGACAATGCAGATATGCTGCATCTGTTGTCATTTAACTTTCTATGAACTTTAATTTCCCTTTTTCTACTCACAACTACTTCATTATTGTAAGCGGTTATTCAGCCCCATTTACGGTACTGCAAATGCCTACCGGTTTG